GCAAAGTACGAACCATAAACCCTCGTTTGACCACCGACTTGAACCCTAGCCCTAAACCCCTAAACCCTTTTCAGCATGGGCTTGGATTGTGTGGCAAAGTATGAACCATAAACCCTCGTTTGACCACCGACTTGAACCCTAGCCCTAAACCCCTAAACCCTTTTCAGCAACGGGCTTGGATTGTGTGGCAAAGTATGAACCATGAACCCTCGTTTGACCACCGACTTGAACCCTAGCCCTAAACCCCTAAACCCTTTTCAGCAAAGGGCTTGGATTGTGTGGCAAAGTATGAACCATAAACCCTCGTTTGACCACCGACTTGAACCCTGGCCCTAAACCCCTAAACCCTTTTCAGCATGGGCTTGGATTGCGTGGCAAAGTATGAACCATAAACCCTCGTTTGACCACCGACTTGAACCCTAGCCCTAAACCCCTAAACCCTTTTCAGCATGGGCTTGGATTGTGTGGCAAAGTATGAACCATAAACCCTCGTATGACCACCGACTTGAACCCTGGCCCTAAACCCCTAAACCCTTTTCAGCAAAGGGCTTGGATTGTGTGGCAAAGTATGAACCATAAACCCTCGTTTGACCACCGACTTGAAACCCTAGCCCTAAACCCCTAAACCCTGTTCAGCAAAGGGCTTGGATTGTGTGGCAAAGTATGAACCATAAACCCTCGCTTGGATTGTGTGGCAAAGTATGAACCATAAACCCTCGTTTGACCACCGACTTGAACCCTAGCCCTAAACCCCTAAACCCTTTTCAGCATGGGCTTGGATTGTGTGGCAAAGTATGAACCATAAACCCTCGTTTGACCACCGACTTGAACCCTAGCCCTAAACCCCTAAACCCTTTTCAGCATGGGCTTGGATTGCGTGGCAAAGTATGAACCATAAACCCTCGTTTGACCACCGACTTGAACCCTAGCCCTAAACCCCTAAACCCTTTTCAGCACGGGCTTGGATTGTGTGGCAAAGTATGAACCATAAACCCTCGTTTGACCACCGACTTGAACCCTGGCCCTAAACCCCTAAACCCTTCTCAGCATGGGCTTGGATTGTGTGGCAAAGTATGAACCATAAACCCTCGTTTGACCACCGACTTGAACCCTAGCCCTAAACCCCTAGACCCTTTTCAGCATGGGCTTGGATTGTGTGCCAGCGAACACTCCTAAACCCTAAACCTTAACCCCCTAAACCTTAAACCCTAAACCCTGACTCCTAAAGCCCATGACCGGCCTGCTTCGACTGGAAGCCCGATGCCGTCGATCGCCACCTTCCTGGAGCTTAGAGCAGCGGCCGAAGCGTGCACGAAAGCTGCTGTGGCGATCCTAAACAGATTCAGGGTTTGGGTTTAGGGTGCATACAACAGAATATGCCGAAGCTGCAGGAAACTTGGATCAAGCAGGTATTTCCTTCAGATACAACAGCCTAAGATCGAAGCTGGCATTGAATTCATGCTGCATCTTGTCGAGGATTTACCGTCGGAAATTGCCTGGAGAGCGGGGGCTCTTCTGCGCCCTTGGACCGACGCTGGAGGGGTTCCTGAAAATTTGCTAGCTGCTAGTCCTTTCTTGTGGGGGGAGGAGTTGAAACATGGCTTGATACAGGATGGATCCAAAAACCGAAGACGGCACACCAGCGATCCAAACTTCAAGCTGCGGAACAGAAACCCCTACAAGCAGGCTTTAGGGTTCTGTGTCTAGAACTACAGAGTTTCCAGAGAAATGCACGGCCCTGAAGCCATACATGCTACAACCCCGACCTCCTCCGCCACTTCGTCGGTGCGGTGCCCGCCTCCGTGGGGCCTGGGTTTACACTCTCGCAGACCGGACACTGCAGTCTGGCGGGTTTAGGGTTTGCGAGTTCCTATAGAAATCATGTCCTATAGACCCGAAATTCTGAACCAAACGATCCCAACCAGGTGAGGATTGATGCGGCTTGGGCTTTTGCGTCATGATGAAAATCCTTGCACCCTAGATCTTGGAAGCTTCCTGCGAAGGGTTCCGATATTGGCAGAAGGCTAGAGAGACAGCTCAAAAGAACATAGGGGAAAAGGAAGACGCGGCTATAGCTGTGGCATGCTATGGCTATGTTGACGAGATTAAGATTCAGCGGCTAAAAAAACACGGTGGTGTCCTTTCACAGGCTTCTGTCCTGCAAATTTCGAAACAAGTGTCCCAACAACACACCCCCAATAAACAAACCTACAGTAATCGCTAGAACATCCGGATCTGGAAGAAACCCCCATAACCACTACAAGCGCGGGAAGGAAGCCCTAAACTCCAAACTGTAAACCCTGTACCCTTTGCAGCATGGGCTTGGATTCTGTGCCGGCGAACACTCCTCATCAAACCCTGAACCCTTAACCCTCAACCCTGCTATGACCCTTTGATACCCTTTGAGTGCTGCCAGCTATAAGGGTACTTGGGCCTGGAGGTATATCCCTTATTTAAAGGAACCTTCGGGTACCCTTTCAGTGTTGCAGGCCTTGAGCTGGAGCAGGTCGCTGAGCGCCGAGTTCCGATCCAGGAAGCGCTGCTCCAGCGTGGCCTGTCGAGGCTTCGACCCTCCCAGCCGTGGCTTTAAGCTACCTTTTTCGGGTGGACATGGTCGAGGGTCTGTATGTCTAAAACACTGGTTTGGGTTGGGGGATTGGTTGCCGGGCTCGGGCTCGGCGCTTCGGCGCTGTGTGGCTTTGCTTCACTGCTGCATGGCGGGCCCGTGGTAGGCTAATCGGTTTAGGGTTCCGGGGTATGGTCTGCGATATACCACCTATACTAGGGTCTGGTCTATCCTGGAATTGCAGTGGGCGGCTTGTGCCTCTGGATGCTTGAAGGGCTTCTGGTCAAAGGGCGTGGGGGAATTTAAATGCGGAGCGACATGCTGGATACTGATTTCTAATCACATCTTACAACCTAAACATCAGAATTCAGGATCACATGTTGACATATCCTGGCAAAGCCGACCAAAGCTGCAGACTTCTAAATGAAAGTTCAGTCTGGAGGGCCTACTAACGCAAGCCGGCAAATTCAAAATTCAATAACTCCAGCATTCAGGCAGGGTGCAAGCTTGAGCTTGGGATCCAAAAACCTACTGTTTTGAGGGTCAGACCCTCTAATTAAGGGGTCATAACCTACCATTTTGTAGGGTTTGGGGATACAGGGAGCTTTTAGGGACGATTCTCTCGGACGGCGCCGAGGCCCTGAACCTGAAAACCTTCGTAAGGCGGCCGAGGGCTCTCTCATCGGGGTCTTATGCTCCTTATAAAGGGAACTCCAGAAAGTTGGAATATGGAATAATGGCAAGATCCCCAAAAATTTACCTTAAAGGGATTATGATAATGATATTCCAACTTTCCGGCTTCTACTGTAGTAGTGACTACTTAGGGACTTATTTATTATGGTCTGGGTAAGCCACGCAATCCGCGAGGTTGCTGCCCCCTTTTTCGTCGCTTGGACGTCATGTGGTCTGAGCGGTTGGCAGCTCGCTGAACAACAGGCACGTGACGCAGGCATCAGTTGGCTGTCAGTTCAAGTACAACACTCAGGTCGTAAGGCGAGATCTGGAACCCTAAACCTGTGGAAAGCACGACCCTGTCAAAATCAGAACCTCAACCCTACGCCGTTTATAAGGATTCTAAAATGGAATTGCGCAAGCCGCCACTTCCCGTCTGAGCTGTCCGCTCGGCTGCATACACTTCGAGTGTCGAGCACGCACGTTAAAGGAAGGACCAAGCTTTCCAGGGAATAATGCCTGTCTGGATCGTTATGATTAGTCTCAGTAATAGACTCTTAGGCCTTCAGCCGCAATACTGTCAGTGGACTTATCACTCATGGTCTGCAAGAATTCTATTGTATCTGTACAAGCCTTCTCAATGACAGAGGTTTCTGGGTTTATGGCTTCTCGGTGTTACAGACCGGCTCATCGGTGCGGAACTTGTGTACCGCCCAAAAGCACCTAGACGTAAAACTTACTTGAGAAGGCTACCTCTTTCTAAACATCTGGGGTTACATGCTAGCAGGGAGGTAGACTTCAATACTCTTATGTCTGTAGTTGCATTGTCATCCGTAACTACATCCCGTGGAATACGATATCTTCAGCCCCATTTCTGGCAATCTGACTACATAGCGCTTGAAGCTACAACTGGTTCTGGAACTTCGTCCCTGGAACCCAACCTACATAGCCTCCATTGTAGCTAAGTTGCCTTAGGTCTTAGTTGCAAATGCTCCTACCCAAAACAAGCAACTACAACGGAGACTCCAAGTAAACCCTGTGCGGAACCGTAAACCTTACACCCTAAACCATGGAACTGCGCGGTTCTTCCGGGGTATGAAATCTCTGAAGATTTCGCGACACAAATGCAGCATCGCGGCAGTAGCAAGAGACTCATCAAACCCAGGGCTTCGAGTCCGGGGCTTTTCCACGGCCTCACAGGATGGCAATTCGGGCTTGTTTTTTCCGGATCTTCTTGTCTCTTGCATTGCCAAAACTTGTCAGCAAGAGCTGACCCATAAAGCACCGGGCATAGAGACCCGGTGCAAAAAGCATCCGTGGGAGCCGAAGCTAGGAGACTCCCACAGGGCAGCGCCTGCTCCTGCTATGCAGGAGGAAGAAGCATGCAGTTGAATTGCCGGGAAACGGCTCTGCGTCGATGGTTCGGAAGTAAAGGAAGGGGTTCAGGGCCTCGGGATGCCCCAGCCACTCAGACCGACTCATTAGAGTTAGTGTGGTTCTTCTATACTCTCAAATGCCTCGCTTTGTGCAAGGAGGTGCCCGAGGGCTTGCGTCATGGGGGTTCTTGGGATATGAGGCTCTTGAGCTTCGTAAACGAACGTGGTGGTGCAGCTCCAGCCATGACAACTGTCTCAAGCAGACCCGGTATTATTCCGGCACTACTGCTTCCTGATTGATACATAGATCCTGAAGACTTTCAATGGCAAACATCCAAGGTGGGAGCTGCACCAAAGAATGGCAGGCTGTGAGTGCTTGACGCAGTCTACAGCGATGCGGTGTTCGCCTTCCGCACCTGCGACGTCTCCGGCGGCAAAGGTCCAGCCTTTGCATGTGGAGCAGCTTTGGGCAGCTTCGTGGTCCGAGGTGATTATTGGCAACCCTTTGAGAGCGAGGGTCCTGTATCATTAGGTATATATGCAAGGACCACTCATTTCTGAAATTCTCCTGTGCATCTGGATGGAAGGCCAATCGAATTCCCGTGTTCTCCAGATTTGATGGCCAGGAGCTGCAGTTAAGGATAGGAATCACATGGAATCACTCAGTGGTCTCCAGAGTCCCCAGCTTGGCGTGGATGCTAGACCTTATACGACCCAAAGCGCCATGAACACCAAACCGCCAAAGACTCCTCCCAAAAGAGATACTGCTGAAGCCACCACCTACCTACCAAGACCCTTAACTGCACTCATATGTACCTGGTTTGGGTAACCTGGCTTCCTTAAGCCTTAGAAACACTCCCAATCAGGAACTGGATCATGCAAACCGTATCACCATCCAGCCCTAAAATCTACACAAAACAAGGTACTACCATCAGAAGCACAGCTGAGGCTCTTCAATGTCTCCTGGCTCAGCCGCCCCAGTCTCCTCTCAACGGTAGAGTCAATACGGACACCTCGTTCCAGCTCTGCCACTTGGAACCCCACGGGATTCGTATTATATTACTACCATATGACTAACATATGGACATGGTACTCCAGTGGAGTTCTAGTACAGGATGTAAACAGTGGCTTTAGCTTTACCGCTTGAGGCTCGAAGACGACTTCGTAATACGTGTCGTGTGTGATAACTACATAGACACCAAAAAAGTAGCTCTGTGGGAAGTCAATGTCAAAGCGAAATGGACGACTCGCAAGACGGCAGTGACACGAGATCGAGGTTAGGACACGCGTTCTCAACACTCCTACTTGAGGGGATCGGCACTATGGCCAATGCATCACGTGGTTCCTGAGCTTGCACGAAGTGGTCTTGCCCATGAAACCTGGGGCTTTGTGGTTGACTGGACGTCTACAACCGTCAGCGCTTTTTGGTGAAGGGCTGAACTTGAAACGACGACGTCTCAGATAGGGAGAGGGCAGATCTGTAGACCTAAGGGTCCAAGCTCTCCTTGAATGTTGATCCCTTCCTTGAGTCTTACTGTTCAGTGACCAGAACCATAAGCAAGGACCCGTGTGAATGCTTCGGGCAGGGTCTGGAGCTCTCGAATCTTAGCAGAGCCTACCCATAGGCTCCATAGTAGTTCCTTTTTGTGGTTCATATTTAGAATCCTATAAGGTAATCCCAAAAAGGAACTACTATGGAGCCTATGGGTATTCAGACCATCGTAAACCCTGTGCTTCGTTGCAAGCGGTCCTCCTCCGAACGTGGCGTGCCTCAAGGCTGTTGGACTTAGCCCCTTTGAACCACGAGCTGAGACATCTTATGGCCACCAACCTTTGGGTAGGCTTCTTTGTGTCCGATCATGGGGAGTCTCATGACTTGGGCGCGAGTTGGGTCAGGTTTCGAGTGGTGACACCACCAGTGTTTGTCCTGGCGACCGCGCGAAACATTGTGAGGGTGATAGCTGTGGAGGACGCTGTCCCAGAGGGTCCAAGTAATTACTCCCCATCATAGGACTTTAGGGCCCTTAGGGCCTCATTAGCTACCAAAGACCATAAACAGGGACTACTTGGACCCTTAGGGTGTGTTGCTAACCGGCGTCAGTGTTGTCACTACCGTTGCAGCACACGCAAACTCACAGGTGGCAGCAGTCCTTTGAATTCCAAGTGCAATGCCAGTCAAAGCGAAAGCAACAACCTACTTAGTTCATTTAGAGGCTCTATTAAATTTCTATCATGGTTGTGGGGTATATTTTACTCTGAGTACATAAGGATTACAAGGAGAGACATTTAGCAAGAGCAGTGTTCAGATCCCTATAGTAGGCTTATAAAACCAAAAACCGGGCTCACGGAAATGGATCTTTCCATGTGAATGCGAACGGCAAAGTTTCGGACCTCATATACCCTGATGTGAAATGCCAGCAGATCAAGACTTGACCAAGTTAAAGCGTGAAGCTAGATACATGCATGTACTGGGGGCCTGAATGTGTTCTTAGGGTTCCGGTAACTTTTTAGCCATTACCCCGAACCTGAAACCCTGCAGTAACATATACTTAGAGACCCCTAGAACCAACCCCTACACCCGGAACTCTACACATCCTAGAACCGTCCGACACAAACCGTGCAGTGCATACTGTAAGGGACACTAACCCGCCGCAACTGGGCTCCTAGGAAGCAATAGTATACAGTAACTACAATGACGAACCCCCTAAATAGTATCGGTAATGATTCATGCCCCTATAGCATCCGAACAGGACCTCTCCGAGAGGCGAGAAGGATCCACAGCGACGCTGAGAGACCCAGCATCTGGCTTTGGGGCCTCCTAATTTCAGGCCCCTTTACTCTAACCAATATAGGGTCATCCAAGGTTCAGGTTCTGCTGGTGTTGAAAATTGTAGGTTTAGGGTGCAAAGAATTAGGGTAGAGTTAAGCGGCAAGGCCTTTGGTTCAGTTACGGTGTGGGCGATATGCGGCTCTTGGCTCAATTTTGCGCTGTTTGAGCTTCAGCAACGGATTCGAGGCTGGGAAGATACGCTGCACTACAATCCGTACAACTCCGACGCAGTTCGGATTTTGTTGGTTTCGAACCCAAGCCCAAACATGCTGGTCCGCTTACACAGTAAAGCTCTCTGGACTTCTCTGCTCCAGGTCTGGGAGGAGATGTTCACCCATGAGCCCTCAACCTCTCAAAGCTCTAAATCCTAATCTCGTAACAAGCGCTCCGTAACCCTGAGCTCCCTTTGTGCATATCCCTCATCAACAAGGCCTGTTTTGTGTCAGGGACTGAACATGAGGATCCCGATTGCAACCCATGTTCCAACAGGTGGGCTCAATCATCTGTCAGGTGTCCAGATAAAAGCTGAACCCCTACGAATCTTGAAAACTGCTTTCGTTCTGATTTAGGGTTACCCAAAGGCCCCAAAGTAGTTCCTTTTTGTGGTTCATATATAGAATCCTATAGGGTAACCCTCAAAAGGAACTACTTTGGGGCCTCTGGGTAGCAGCCAAGAGGCATCTTGAAACCTGGAGTTGTGGAAACCCGCTCCAGCGGCCCTGGCGAAAGCTTCGTCTTTCCTGTAGCCGAGACACCCAGACCTTCCAAAATCCCTTAATTGAGGAACATACCTTAAATTATAGTAGGATCCCCAATATGATTTAAGGTATATTCCTTAATTAAGGGATTTTGGAAGGTCTGGGCAGTCATGGGCTTCGAGCTGTCGGGCTTCAGGCTAGGCTATAGCCCTCAAGGTTTAGCGCCAGAGCCCACGGCCCACAAGTCTGGGGTCCTCCTCATGTGTTTCGTCGAGCTTTGTGGTCCTCTCTCTCTGTGTCACTGTGTCTTTCTCTCTCGCTCTCTCCCTGTATCTCCTTGGACTGAGTATGTGTGCGAGAACCCACTTTTTCAACCAGGAGCTCGGGATATGCCTGGAAGTGCGAGTATTCAATACGGCTGCTCGTAGCATTTTGCTCCCCTCATACGGTGGCGAATGGGCATTAAATTATCTATCAAGGCTTTTGTACGTGCAACAGCCCCGGTCATCAACCCTTGCCTACTGTTGTTGCGTTGGGGATGACGTGTCAGTATGGCTGTTTCGCTCATGAGTACGACGAAGGCGACCTACTACCGAAAATAGTAGGATCCTTCTTATAAGGACCCCAAAATAAGGTACCCCTAATTTTCGGAAAAACTCCGATAGTTTGAAGACCCCTTTTCCTCGCTCTTAAGGCTCGGTAGTCAGGATGTAAGAACTCACGGCATGTTCTGAATGCGCTACACTGAAGCCGACATCCTACCCCGGTACTTCTTGACTCAGAGCCCAGCTAAGAACCCAGTTCGATCAAATATGTGCCAACAAACCAGAGAAGTACCAAAATCAAACTAAGCCCATGGAGGTTATGTCCTTCCTTGCCCGTAAGCTAAACTGCACTGGAGCCCTACACCCTGCAGGCTCTGTAAAGGCAGACGAGCTTCGACTTCGCCGCAGCATCCCGACGCCGAGCTCGCTCAGCTCTGACATGTCGCAGCCTCAGAAGTTTTTTGAAGCACAGGACTATGGCTTCGGGGTCAAATGTTAGGGATTTGCGGCCTTGGCGTTTGGGTTCTTGGATTTTAGGTTCGGGTGGTACTGTAGGCTGCAGGTTTGGGGTTTGCAAAGAGTTCGTGATTTGGGGTTAGCATGGGTCAGCCTTGAGGTTTATCCCGAATCCACAGCATCAGGGTCTTCTGGCTCTCACACATGGAACGGGTCCGTTTCAGTGCAAGGAGTAAACGATGAGCGTGAGACCCCAGTTGTGACGGAGTCGGTTGTGGTTCATGCACGCTTGCATCCGAATAATAGCGGCAATAGCGTTGTGGCCTGGCCCGAGTAGGGCACTTCTTGGCGAGAAGGCTCTCGAGAGAATCTCGATATGTCTAGCCCGGACAGCCATCAGTCCAACAATTCGTCACTGCCCAGGATACAATCATCGGTGTGCTCGGAGTGTTAAGAACCACATGCACAGAGAGATATCAACCCGAAAACCTTGAAGCCCAAATCCCAAACCAATTCCGTAGACTCTCTACAAGACTTTGTTGAACCCGCATTGAGGCCGAGTAAACCCCTGAACGTCGACACATTGCAAATAAAGAGCCCTACGGCCCTAACATAAAGACCCTTAACAAAAAACACTCGGTATTCTCGGTCATATGAGGAGCTCGAAGCAGAGCACCGCGGCGCAGCACCCAAACAGCACAACGCCCACCAGTGCTATCCAGAAGCCTGACAGGTTCGAAAAGTTCGTGGTTTTAGGGCTTAATAAGGGCTTCGGGTTTATAAAGTTTCGGCTATAACTAGGGTACATGAACACTACAGAATCCTGAACCCGCAGTATATCTCGCTGGCGAGTTACGCGTGTCGCGAAGGGCCGTCTCCCACCAATCGGGCACAGTGACCTTAGGAGTCTCAGGGAAGCTTTGCACACTGGGCTCTGGGTTAAAGGGTGTAGGATTTGGGCTTGAAGGTTGTAAATAGGAGGAACCGTTTTAAGATTTACTAAAGTTACTAGAGCTTAGGATTTAGGGTTGACGAGTCTAGCATTTTTGGAGGCTCACACACTTACGACTCAGACTTGAAGGATGGTGCCAATCTCGTTGCAGATGTGGGTTCTCACGACCTGCCCTAGACCCTAAGCCGCCGCACTTGTCGCCCAAGTTAGACTGGGTTTTCCAAGAGCATAAGTTGCATTGACTAGAGCTGGTTTGGCTGAGCAGGGCGAGCAAGGCATGCCATACTATACAATAAGAATTGAATGTAAAATTGTTCTTAAACTCTCAGACGGTAAGTTCACGTGGCATAACGGCTTTTGTGATCTTGATAACTATTTACACCTAGGCGAGCCATGTGGTTCGAGGTCAACTTCTATGTGCCCAGTGTAGGGGAGACTTCGCCTCGATGAGGGCTCCTGTAGCTTGCAGCCCGATGTCTACACGACTTGGCATAGCTTACCGCACGGATTCTCAAACATATATTGGGCTTTGAGGCTTCACGGCGTCGCTTTTTACCTTGGTTAGAAACGATTAGAAATTAAGGCTTCAGCTGTACAGATTGACAGACCACGATGCGGTACACGAGTATCACAGACCCTTGGCCCTAAACTCCCACACCCCCCGGTTAGTGTTTTGGTATTTGAGTTATGTCAAAGTCCTTCTGACTCGCGTGCAAAATGCCAGAGGCAGCCGTTCTGGACCAAACAGAGCTTTGATGAGGAGGGTGCAATTACGAAGCCAACAACCTGAAATCCAGTCCAACAAATGTCAGCGAAACTCATTTTCGCGCCAAGACCGCGCTTCCGAGTCTTGGAGTTGGCGAAGCTTACAGGTTCATAGCCGCTCTGGCTTACCAAGCAGAACATGCGAAAACTGAGCCCACTCTGTCTGGAGCAAATATGTGGGCTTCAGGCGGTGAAATCATCAGTGAACAAAAAGCAGCACCCTATGCCTCGAACCCGGATCCCTAGACCCAAGCCCTATATGGGAGTTTCCGAAAATTAGGGCCGGGGAACCGTATTTTGGGGCCCTTATAATCGGGATCCTACTACTTTAGGGTACTATATTGGGGTCCCCTATATTTTTTTGAAACTCCCATATCAACCCGTACGCCGTACCAATTGCAGGCTTCAAGGGCCGCAGGACAGCTGCTATCGTCGAAAGCCATGTCAGGTTCGAAGACGGCCAAAGCGCCGTCCACGGCCTGCACAGTCCCAACGGGGTCAGGGAAGTAGATAAACCCCGACCAGGCTACACATCAACCCCAACCACATGCTTTGTAAGGCATGTCAGTTCTTCGGGTTTCAAGCATCTAGAGCCTCTGCTCTCCAGCAAAGGTCTACGTCAAAAGCAGAAAAGCTCCAATAATCTTATTGGTACGGTTATCATACTCGGTATTACTCTATTCGTATTGGTATGACAGAATTAGCATTCAACAGGCAGGCTTGTCGTTGCTGGCTGCTGGGACTACAAGAAAGACAGGGAGAGTCGACGTTCATCTGCAGGGTTCCTGAAACTTTCTCTGCGGAGCGGTGCGGATTGACTAGCTGTGGTACTTCGATAATTGGACAAGGTTTCGGGTGGACATATTCTGCACATGGAACGCCGTACTGTAGGTACCCACGAACTGCAAGGCCTGACGGCATAGCTGCCCCAGACACTGTCGCAATCTCGCTGTAGACTCGAGCAGGCCCCTGACCTAAACCCTACGGTACAACCTAAAGGGGACCTTGGCCCTGAAGCCCTACCTGTGACTCGACTTACGATCTTGGAAGCAGGTGGTCAAGCCTGCTCTGCTATTCATTTGTAGGCTTTGGAGCTACAGGTAACGGTATAAGCCTTGCTTCCTAAGCCAATGTTCCAACCAAAGACCAAGCTGCCTCGACACTCAACACCATATTCGCTTGCTCCACCTCTGTCGCCGGCCCTGGGGCAGATTGAAGGGTTTAGTGCTGGGGAATCAAATTCTCTTGACTTCAGGGTTTGGGAGCTACAGTGCTCAGAATGCATCATGCTTCCGGAATTCGGCACTACGAGGGGTGTAGGATAGAGGATGTAGGGCACAGGCTTTGAATAGTCAAGGTTTGGGAATTCATGCCTAGGTCAAGAACTCAAACCCCAGGCCCCAGGTACTATTAACCGCGAACTCCAGACAAAAAACACCCCACGAGTCCCATGAGCCAGAAAACCTTGGAGTTCGAGGACAAGACCAAGTGGAACTACAACTACGGGAGTGCTTGTAAGAACATTGTTCTCACGTGGCTCACACACACTTCCAAGGAATGCACAGGGTGTTAGAAGGGTGCAGGGCTGGGTCTCTCAACTACAGACTCTCTGTACCCCCAAAAAAGAGCTTAGAACAAGGTCCGCCCGCTGCTGCTTCCGCTCGAACATGCTCCCGCAAGCGAGTACAGCCCCTCAAAGCCCAGAACCTTCTCAAGACTGTCTCAACAAATCAGGGAATCACGAAATACAGAAAGCCAATAATCATTCGTCTCCGCCCTACTCAGCAGCTTACATAAATCTTAAGCCCTGCACCCTCAGCCCTGATTCACTAAACTCGAAATCATCCTATACATCCCTAAACTCGGACCCTAAACCCCGCGCTTGCCCAGCGGCCACACGTGAGGAGGGCGAAGTGCCAATCGCGGGCGTATGTCTCCTGGAGACAAGGCGCACAAGCTAAAGCTTTAAGCCAGAAGCCATTAAATCTGCGTAACCTGGAAGCCGAATATTGCAACATCATTCTCCTCTTGTCCTCGGGCTAGACACTAACTTAGGAGGGCATCTCGGGCTACTATGATCTGTAACTCCATAACGCTAAGGGCTTATAGGGTGTGGGATGGCGAAGAACCGGTCTTTGCGCGCATGCATGAGGTGAACCGAAACCATGCATTGGGATTCTGCGAACGGAGCCAGTGGATGAAACAATCTCGACGCGCTGCCAGCTGTGACAACAAAAGCATACAAAAGCTTGTGCAAAGGACGGCAGGGGCGCGGTGCGACGAAATGCCGATCAAAAACCCAGGACGACAACGACATGTCAACTACAACACCTCAAACCCAAAGGTCTTAAACCAGTACACCTTGACCTCCAAAACCTCTAAACCTGAAGCGCGGTCCTGGTGCACGTCCACGCGGAACCAATATTGAAACTGGCCCAACTTACGGACCTCGCAGGTTTAGGGTTTGGGGTGGGTTTAAGGGTTAGGGTTTAAAGGGCTAGGAAATATGGGAATGTACTTAAACCAGCGATGCAAAGTCTGAGCCTTTGGGGTCTGGGGTGATCTTCAACGTTTAAGCATGGCACCCAACTAGACAAGCCTCAACTGTCAAGCGCATTTTGGGGAATAACTAGAGAAAGCTCAACTTTTCGGACCGGTTTGGGGTTCGGGGTGCCCGCAAACTAAACTTCTGCAAGCCCTGCATCCATGGTCCAGAGAGCCCCATGGCCCAGCCTCTAGCAATGATTTCCAAATACCCAGCGAGAGTTAGTTGCCTGGCCAAACCCAACTCATATTTGACATCTTATGGTAACAACCTAAACCTTAAATATCAAAGTCGAAACATTGAACCAAGAACCATCCGAAACCCTTCTAGTGACCGTGTAAAAGCCCTTGTAGCAGGGAAACCTCGGAGTAACACTGGCAGAACCCAACCCCTTAAAGCTTAAAACCTTTCAACTTACAGTATCACATATAGCGGCCCGTCCAGCAACCTTCATAGAAGCCTTAGCCCCTAAACTCTAGCGAAGACCCTTATCAAGAACCGTTATGTATAGTCACTCCCTAGCCCCTAAGCCCCAACGAAGAGCCTTATCAAGAACCCTTATGTATAGTCTTAGTAACTCTTATGGAGCCTGTACCCCCTTCAACCCAAACTAGGACCCTAAAATAAGAGCCCTTCTAGTAACTCTAGTAACCCTAAACCCTTATAGTATTTATAGTAACTCTTATAGTAATTCTAGTAACCCTTATAGTATATTATAATGCCTCTTACAGCAATTATAGTAACTCTCATGGAACCCTGTGCTGCCCGAGAGGCCCAGGTGGCAGCCTGCAGCTTCTCCTCGCAGGACTTCTCGCCCCAGTGGTCCTTGGGCTTCGTCTCTCATAGCCAGGTTTACCTGCATAACTGATAAGACGGAAATATGTATGTCTTCCAGATTTACGAGAGTATTGCAACAAAAGTGAATATGAATAACTGGAAATAAGTAGGCATGTATGTATGAATGTATTCATGTGAAATGTTAGGTGCCGTACTATAATAAGGACCCAAAATGGGACCGTAATTTAGTAATTCTAACGACCACCCATATAGAAGCAAAGCAGAGTTTGCATAATTGAGTAGAAAGAAGTATTTATGTCTGTCTGTAGGTATGCACGCACGTAGGTATAACTGTATGTGTTTATGCATATGTACAGATGGGCAGTTCTCTACATCGGTCTTTTTTAGAATGCCCGTTTTACCAGGGTGCCGTACAATTTGGTGGACCTGAACTAGGGCCCTAATCTCGAGAACTACAGTGCCGGTTTGTGAACACCCTAAACCCTAACCCCTCACCCGCTTTCCTGAAACCCTGAGTCCGTCCTTCACAGCTCCCCAACTCTCGGGGCTGGCATCGAAGGCAGCTAGCACCTGAGTGGATTCGTGCTTAGAGGGTTAGAGTAGGCTTTAAGGTTTCGGTGCTCGGACAATCCAGGCGAAGCCTACGGTTCGAGGTCAGCTCAGTTTCGGCGCTCACACTCGGACAATCCAGGCGAGGCATATGGTGTGGAGTCTGCGATGTGAAACGGCACTAGAAGATCACGTCAGGACGAAAGCAACAGCCATCTTCCAACAGGTAAAGTGACTGTACTGCTCGACGTGTCTTCCCTCCAAGTCACTCGATAGGAAACACAGCACAGTATGTGACTTCGAGGTCTGTCTATACAGCAGATCGCCAGGGGCAGGGCAGGGGTCAAGGCACTCATACACGTAAAGTTTAGGGTTTAGGGCTTAGAGGATTGTGGGTTGAGTTGCATAAAGCTTTGCAGGGTTTTGAGAAGTTTGAAGATTTGGGGTTCGGGGAATGAGGCTTGAATCCAAATTATCCAGGATTTCAGAGGTTTAGGGTGTCCATGGATCTCTTCGGGATGCGCGTCTAGGGCTTCGGTGCAACGGCGTCAACGAGATTTAGCTTTGGGGTTGCGGAACTGTCTTAACCCACTGGCCCTACTTGCTTTTCGGATCAGCAAGTCAATTGAGACCACTGCAGTCAAAACAACCAAATGGTATCCTATGAAAACTGATTATATGGATAAGCCTGTAAAGGTGTAACGGAACCTCATCCCTCCTCAACCCTGAAATCCTAAACCAAGACAGCCCGACCCAAGGAACACCCAACCATCGTGCTTTGGATCTATCGATAATATGCATCCGCTACAGCCCCTCCAACACGGAACCCTTGTTGGTGAAAACATGCTTGTTGTTCGTCCACATCGCTTAGAAAACAACTCTAAAGCCCCACCCTAAAGCCTTTCCTTAATTTTGCAGCTGGGCTCTTTTTGAAACCCTAAAGCCCTGAAAAAACCTAAGGCCCCAAGCCGGAGGCCCAGCTGAAGGGGCCCAGGGCACTACTGGGCCATTCTTCTCCAGAGGCTTCTGGCCATCCCACTGCACATGGATCCAAAGCTCTCCCACCTGGTTTGGAAGGCTTTTAAACGCGTCAAGGGCTTCAAGGAGCTTATCTATACTGAACTTAGAACCCTAGCAGAACTTATAATTTTAGCTGTTTCTTAGGGGTTATAAGAACCAAAAATTAAGAATTACATTTTTAAGTACCCCTAAGTTATGTTCCTAACTCCACACCCCGAATCCCCCAGAACCATAAGCCTGGGCCTCTACATCCCGAAGCTCCAGTGCCAAATTGCAGCCCCAAACAACTCGAGTAGGGCTTCGGGGGTTCCATATTACAGTACAGGTTTAGTATATGAAACATGAAGAGTGCCTGTCATTGTACTACGGTGCCCTAAAGCATAGTATTGCTAGTTCTCTAGGCTTCTACTCTATGAACCAAAAGCCCGAAGCCCCGAGCCATCCAATTTCCAGCCTTGGTGTCGTTGCCGCTGTCGCTGTTGGCATAGCCGAAGCAGAAGCCCCCGAGGTGCCTCGGATTGGGCGCTGTACCTATAGTCTCCATTGTAGATCCGATTTTGGGCGAACCAAAACGTCTATTATAGGATTCTAACCATGAGACTGGTAAACCAAAAAAAGGAACTGCAATGGAGACTGTAGGTAACCTCGATAATCCCTAGGGGTCCATGTACTGACGTTCTACTTGGGCTGTAAAGTACTCTTTAGATCTCTTTAGATAGGTACATCGGTTCCAAAGTATATACATTTGGGCACATGGACCCCTGGGGAATATGGTGGCCTTGGTAATTAGAGTAGGGATTTGGGGTAGATTATATTATAATCCCAGTAAGGAGCTTCCAACCACTATCCTTTCAAAGTGTAGGGCGGCCTACATTCGATAGCCTATGAACCCTACACCTTAAGCTTAAACCCTTCTGAGTTCGGTCCTGGTCATAGGGCTCGAAGAGGAAAGTAGGGTGTTCAAACACAGGCGAGACAATTTGCAGTCTATGTAGTCGGATGTCTGAGATGTCTGGCAGAGTGGAAGGTGGGAGTTTCCGAAAATGAGGAGCCCTAATATAGTATATACCCGAAATAATAGGATCCTTACTATCAGGGCCCCCAAATAAGGTACCCCTTGTTTTCGGAAATTCCCAGGTTGTGCCACCCCTAAGTCAGCTAGTGGCAGAACTCCTGCAAGGGGTGTTTCGCGGGGGTTTAGAGATTTGATGTGTCTTAGGCCTTAGGCTCTATGTTTCTGGGTTTCTTCAAGGGACTGGTGGAAGCTGCCAGCACTTGATGATGTTCGAACGATCCCAACTACGACAACCACGTTCTTAAAACGCTCCGCAACCCTGGTTCTACCTCGGCGCCCTCGCTATCGACTATTGTAGCGTAGGCGAAGCTTCTACGACGAAGACTGCGGACCTCCTTAAAATGGTATTTGGGTGGTGCCGTCAAGGATGAAGTTTTCGGGGATTTGCCTCAATCTCTGGGTCAAAAGAAACCTCTGCCTCAACCGATGATACCTGAAGCAGCCACGTTGCCACGAGCTTTGAGGAAGGAGAGTCATGTTAGCCTGACGGGCACGCTGGGCTTCGGGGATGCGGGCTCCGGCAGTAGTCTGGGAGTCTAGGCCTAGGCCACGCTTCTCAAAGTCTTCGCCATAGCACAGCCCAATGTTTAAAAGCAGCTATGCCAGTGCAGAGGCTGAATGAGCTTGAGTTGCCGAATTTGATCCCTTAAGCTTACCTGTGCAGCAAGGCCCCAAGCCTACAGTGGAAAGACTTCAAATCGAGAACCTCGAACCGTCATCGAGACACGACTCACGACAGAGAGAGAGAGAGAGAGAGAGACAGATATATATATATATATATATATATATATATGTATATATATATATATATATATATATATATATATATATATTTATATTTATATATTTATTCAGCAGAGACCCACAATCGCGGAACCAAGAAATCCAAGCCTTAAAGGCAACCTCACTAAAACCTAATCTTAGGAGTATTTTCTGGTTACCTTGATTCCGTCGTACTGCAGAAAACCGGCCAAAAAAGAGGTCACCTTAAAGCAAATACTACAATGCATGGTCGGGGCACACCCCTCATCCATAACTGCTCGAGATCTAAAGGTGAATAAGCAAACGGCCAATGCTATTGGAGTGTCCTCTGCAAAAATGTGCCCATGCTAAACAATAATCCTCGTCGTAATGTCATGAAATTATCACATCCCAAACCCCATACCTGATAGTTGAAGCACGGCTTATCGCAAGCTTCCTGCTTCTTCTGTAGAACCTCGGACTGTTGGATACGCACTCCACAAGTACGCCCTTTCCCCGAGAACCGCTTGAATCTTCGGTGGAGACCTTCCTGTGGGGCCTCAGCCCTTCACTTCACCTGCCACAGCCCGAGCTACACTTCTGCCACCTCCAGCCGCACTGCGGATTGAAAGCCGCCATGGGCCAGAGCCACCGCAAGCAGCGGGCAGAAACGGAGCACGAAAGCCATTGCAGTTTGCATACCCGGCATGAGCCCTAAGCCTGAATCTCACTGAAGCCCTGACACGTGGCTCACTACGATGATAAGATGATGGTGGTGGTCCTGGAAAGTTTGACTATGTCCGTTCTGGGCTGCTCCTGGCAGCTTGTTCACACCCGCTTCTCTGAGCGATGTTTGAGGTGTGCCTGCTTGCGAGTAAAGGAATACTTCTCATGTGTACCCCCTATCTGAGCCAAACCTTTCTGCATCCCCTCACTGCATGGCTTGTGGGCCTAGGCTTAGGGTTCAAGCGCTTGGTGGATGTGTTTTTGGCCTTTGGGGTTGGGGGTACAGGGTTGAGGGGCTTAGTTGTGTCTGAGTCTAGGGATTGCGATGTGTCTTAGCGCGTCCCACCGGTGGTAGGCAAGTTGTGGGTTGAACGACTACGGGTTTCGGTCCACCTGTCCCGCGTGCCGTCACTGCAACGAGCCAGACATACCCTCGCCGCAAGCTAACTGGGTTTCATATCTTCAGGGTATATCTGCGTGTATCTTCAAGGTTTGCAATTGGGTTGAGGGTTTGGGGCACTGATTAACCCGCACCGAACGAGAGAGGTGCTGAACTCCGAACGCCTCATCCACAGGTGCTCCGATCAAGACTCCAGGACCATGGTGGTGGTAGCCTGGCCAAGCCAATCATACAATCAGAACCTACTTCTAGTACAAAAAGAATCCCGAAAGCCGGTGGTCTATGCCATCCATGACATAATATGGTACGCCTATGTATATGTACATGCATGCCGTGGTATCTAGGCTTGAGCCGGCGACGGGTTTTGCAATGAGCTTGTATTGTTTCCCCTTTGAAATTGAAACCCCCAACCCTACACCTTAAACATCCTTAAACCCTGGTTGCGGCTGGACTGAGCTCCGAACCCCAAAACCTGAGCAGAGTTGGGGTTAACTGGGCTTCAACATCCTCAGAAGCAGGAACTGTGGCAAGTGTGAGATTTGGGAATCCCCTCCAAACCTCGTATACAAGGCACCCAAAGACCTGAGAACTTCCAAGACGCGACATTTCCAGGCGCTTGAAAGAACCCATGAGCTTTAAGCGAACTACTGGGAGCCGAACTTCACCAAGAGTCGCTTTTTGCATGACGTTGTCACGGGTCTTCAAGTACATTCCACATGCTGCATCTCCGGATCTTTTTAAACCGATCTGCGCGTGAAACGTCCGCTCTTCGGTGGTGGTGAAAACTGAAGCCTTTGTGACTGCTTTGTAGACTCTGACTTGCAAGACTGGCTCCAGATAAACTATTCTATCGCTCGGATCTGGTAATGCCAGTAAAACACCCTAACATTGCGGTCTCAGCAATTAGGCCAATCAGGATGTTTGGTTGTAGTCATATCAGGGCTATCGGAAAGCACTATGCATATCATTCCGAGCCCTATGCTAGGTAATTAGCCTCTCAGCTGCTCTCAGCCTTGGTTCTTCCTGAGTTCGCGCCGCGGACGTACTTGGTGACCTCCCGGCGCTCTGACAAATCCAGCGTGTCGCCTTGGAGCGCATTTCAAGCCCGGATCTGGGAGCTTCCCATAGGCTCCATGTACCCTTAATAGTAGATACTTAAGCCTTCAAGGGCTCCAGATACCACTATGGGCTATTAGACCCTAAAGATCCCTATTAGGACCCTATTAAGGGTAGATTAAGGTACCCATATAAGGTCTAATAGCCCATAGTGGTATAGGCACTTTAAGGCCAAAGTAGATACGATATGCGTACATGGAGCCTTTGGGTTGGGATCTCCATGTAGGGAGATTTTTCGCTGCTGAGCGCCTTCGGTTTCTGAAAACGGGGGGGCGGCCCGAGGGTCGTTTAACCCAAAGGGTCCAAGGATCATTATGGTATATACTTATACATAGCGTATTTGGTGGGGTCTAAGTATATCGTATATACCATAATGATACTAGGACCCTGTGGGTAATTCATTCAGTAGGAATACCAGGGCCTGCTCGTCCTTCTTCTTTGAGCCATTGAAAACTGGAAAACTGTCCAAGCACCGAGTCAGGCGTCGTATTTCAAGGATAAGGATCGAATACCCTTGGCGATGACTTTGGGGATTCACGTGGTTCCTTAAATCCGTGGACTAAAACTGAGATCACAAAGCCCGAAACCTGCCTGCAACACAAAATCTCGCCGTCATACTGAAAATTTGGAATGTGATTGTAACGGCCCAGACGAGTCTTAGCAACTGCTAGTTCTTGAGGGAAAAAGTTGAACCAGGTTTAATATAAAGGTGACGAACTTAATTAAGGTTTCGGGAACTGCATTAGGAGTATCACGACTCATTTGGACACCTTTCCTGGGGCTGCAAAATTTGACCCAGAAATTCAGTATCGGGGGGCATTTGGGTGTAGGGTGATGTAGGTTCCATGGTGTAAAAAATACGCACACCTACCTCCTACATACATACGTAAATACATACAAAGATGTAGGTGTACGTGTGAAGTTTGTGAGGAATCAATCAAGGACCATGACGAATTACATATTGGGGTGCCCATGTTAGGTTGTAGCAAAAGTTTCGAGCCACACTGGGGTTGGACCGTTGCAGCTTCGCGGCTAAGATCATCTTCGCCAATTTTGCTGCGCCCTGCCTGTGGGTTTAGAAAGGACCTATACAAGGTTTGGGATAGGAATCGTGGTCACGGCTCGCGAGTGTACGATTCGGGTTCTGTGGAATACGACCACTTCTTGAAGAGGAAGTCATATGCGGAGGCTTGTGGGTAGGCAAAGGATTTGGGGTGGAGAGTATCGGGCCGGAGTGGAGCTTCGGCCTTATAACCGAGATTTGGCAAGTTGTTGGCTTCCAGGTTTAGGATTTCGCAGGGCCGTATATAGGATCCAGGGTGTAGGGATTTCTGGGTTGTGACTGCTTTCTCCTGTCGTCGGGCTTCCAAACACAACTGCGGGCACAAATCCTGAGTTGAAATTCTAAAAGCCGCAGCAGACCATGCGGAAACGTCAGTCAGAACGTCCAAAACCCCAAGCGGCAAACCGCACCGCTTAGGGCCTAACTTTCGGGATGATTATGTAGGCTACTCAACTCCTGCATTATGCAAGGGAGCGAAACCAAGTGAATCAGCGCCTTGCTCCACTGCACCCCGACGCCCCCCAAAACTCCATACGAGGGATTCGAAGAATCAGTTAATTAGTTGGAGCATTAGTTGACTTCTTACATCAAGCTCCTGTTTCAAGATAAACCAACCAACAAGTGTGTGTATTTATATATATATATATATATATAATATACAATGCTTCTAGATCAAGGTCCCTTACCACTGAAACCCCGTATTCACTCGAACTTGTGTGCTCGATCTCTTGGCCTTGGGGAGCCGCAGGATCATGGCAAAGCTGTATATCCTTCGTTCAGCTCGAGCTTTGGCTGGCAGGTTTCACCATGTGCTTGAAGGTTATGTGTAGTTTCCGAATGTACTCTTCCTATTCGTTACCTGCCTTGATCACCTTCCGATAAAATGAAAAAAGTGCACGTAGCCCTGACGTAGGAGGACAAGATCATGAAACTACTACCCCTGAGAACTTTCAAGGACCTTATACTTCCCGAGCGTCAGGGGAGCCATCGCCATGGCTGAGAGAGTGAGCTCGGCACCGAGGACCTGGGAAGCTCAAAGACTAGAAGAGTCCTGTTTGGGGCAGGTCCGGAAATGTTTGGAAGGCATTGGTGTTAGTTGGGGTTTGAGCTAGACTGTGCTCTCTAAGGGTTCTTACATACAGCCGCTCTATCGTCATGAGCGACGGATTTACCAAGACTTTACGCGGATCTATTGAAGACGACCAGATCGTCGATGGCGCAAAGAACACAAACCGAAAGCGTGCAGGGTTGAGCTTGAGACCCTGAATGCTGCTCAGTAGCAGGGAGGAGCAGCAGCTGCAGCGTTAAGCCCAAGCCTTCGCAAAAGCGCTTTCGGGTGGGATATAGTGCAAAGTAGCATGTTCCAATATATCGAGTGTAACAGCTAACCCGAAACATACTAATTATCCCGAGTCACAGGTTTTTCCCTTAAGGGATAAGGCCCGATAAGGCTGTTAAGCTCAAGGTCTTGGCTAACATCACCGGGAGTCCGGGAGTCAGCCTCAATAATCCCGGTCCAAGATCGATCGGGTCTTGGGGTGTGTGATCCGAAGTTCATGCGGAGAGGAATCAAGCAGAAGCCAATGATACTTGCGTGCACACACGCACAGACACCCGCACGCACACACAACCGTGCACAACATTTGCAGTATTCTGCAATAACCTGGGAAGTGTGCTCACGAAGTAAGACCACAGCCCGCGAAGTCTCCCCGCCCCGAAACACTGAGACACTAAACCTCCGTGCTCCACACACGACCAAACGACAAGATATTCTCAAAGTGGCATTCTCCGAAGAAGGCGGCTGCAGCGAGTCCACAACCTCGTTTTGTTTAGGCAGTCTCGGGCATGATGGTTTAAGAGTAGGGCCAACCGCAGGCACGGTCTCTTATACTTGCTTCCCGCATTGCTAGCTGCTAGCTCCTTCTTGGTGCTGCTGGGGGCTATACCTAAAAGGTAAGCCCCCCCCATCTGTACTGAAGCGTCCTGCTGGGCCTTGAATTTCCTACAGAACCCTGTCTAAGCGTTATGAAGAAACCCTCAGTGTTCTGGGAATTCCTCGAAACCAAAACACGCGTAAGGATGCATTTACCCGATAGATAGACAGACAGACAGTTGGGGGCCTTGTCGAGGATTCAGGTTGTAGTCAGTCCTCCACTGAAAATGAAACATTTCAAACAGACATCTTGAGGTCAAAGAGCTAGTGCAATACATCTTTAACCAACACCCCTAGAACAAACATGATCACTCGAAACAAAACCCCCAAACCCCAAATCAAGCCTGAACGCCCAATGCCTTAAATTCGGCCACCGAACTTCGGAGAGCATCAGCGGTAGCAGGCGCAGCGGCATATCTGAGCCTTGCACCAGAACTCCACGAGTAACTTATAAGGAACAAGAAGGTTCGAGGTTTGGTGCGAGGGAGGTTTGAATGTCCAGGGTTGGTTTCTTCAGGGCATCATTAGGGCATCAGTACTGTAGGGGCTTAATAAGTAGAATAGGGTTTTGGGTCCCATTATACTACAACTATAGTAATATGGACCCCCCAAAAAATAGTATAGTTAATTATTTGGGACCCTATAGTATGCAGGACTTCATTTTCTCATGTAAGGAGTATCTGATTCCCCACGCAGCCTCTGGAACTGTCTTTGTGAGGGCCTCAGCATTCGGTCATGCAGAATGGTTATAGTTCCTTCGGGCCGGCAGAGCAGATTCAGTTGATCAGAAGCCTAGGGGACTCGGGCATCTGACCTCCGGCTCCCTCTTGGACAGTCTGAGATTTGTCAGAATTTTGGACCCTGTGCGCCAACTGAAGCTCTTGCTTCAGCTCCGGCGGGACGAGCAAGGTTTCGGGTCAGGGTTTAGTGGTTTAGGGATCGCTGGGAGAGCATCCGACTGGAATCAAACACGGAAGTCCGAAATCGCAATACAGGAAGATTCTACAACTCACTTGGTGCAAAGGGTTCGTAAATGCTTCACTGCAAGTACTATGCTGCCACCTTGTCTTTGTTCTTTGGCCATGGACTTATCTAGGGCCCGACAGCCCGCAAAGACAAAGCCAGGCAACTGCACATGTACATTCTCAGGGACGCAAAACCCTAAACCCTAAACCCCGTATAAAACCCCAAAACCCTAAACCCTAAACCCCAAAACCCTAAACCCTAAACCCCAAAACCCCAAAACCCTAAACCCTAAACCCTACCTGCCCTGTGTGGTCACTCGCCCAAAAGCGCCGGTCCTCGTGGGCAGTGAAACACCGAGGCCGAGCAGGCCTTGGTCAATTAAGGGATAGGGTTTAGGGTTTAGGGTTTAGGGTTTTGGGGTTTTATACGGGGTTTAGGGTTTAGAGTACTCCCCGAAATTAGGCGTATCTTTATGTGGGGTCCTTACAATCAGATTCCTACTATTTACGATACTATATTTAGGTTTTAGGGGTTTAGGGTTAATTAAAGGTCGCCTGGTTCAGGCTCACTGTGATATATCAATCTCAGTATAATTGCAAATACAGCTCAACAAATCTTATGTACTGCATCCCGAGCAGGCATACGTTAGACTTAGGGTTCATGCAGAAACCCCATATGAAACTGACTGGCAAAGGGAGCCATGACAATTAATTCGTTCGGCCCCTGAATTTGCAAGTGAGTCGGGTCTTCAGGGCCCCAGGCTTCAGCGCTACACCCAACACTCAATACCCACTACGATAGATATCCTTAAACCCCTCAAGTCCTGAACTTACCCTCATCCCCCCAACAAGATAGACATCTTAAACCTCTCATGTCCTGAACTTACCCGCATCCCCCCAAGAACGGCCTCCCAGAGCTGTCTGCAGCGCGAGACGTGCGAAAGTGAGCCTCGGTCTCCGGAGCTCCAGTCATCAGCGTGATAGTTCATGCAGCGCACCAACCTTATGGTTTGGATCCTATAATAGAGATTTTGGTTAACCCAAAAAAGGAACTACAATGGAGACTACCTATAGTCTCCATTGTAGTTCCTTTTTTGGTTTAACCAGTTTTATATGAAGGATCCTAAAAGGTAACCCCAAAAAGGAACTACAATGGAGACTACTATAGGTATGGGTTCAATGCCTAAGGCTCGTGCGAACCTACAGCTTATACTTGCTACTACCAAGACTACCCAAGGCAGGGGAAACGACTCTCTTGAGTGCATTTATCTTGGAGGCCAGGGTTTCGCTTGCCTTTCATCCGCATCAGCAGCTGTCGCACAATTTGCTCAGGGCTCAACCCTAAACCCTAAACCGCAAGCAGTAATTCAAACGACTTAAGACGATGGACATAGACTAGGGCTCAGGGCTTGGGCTGCCGGTGAGGGCATGAACTTGTCTGCTTCTGTGCTGGCAGGTCTACCCTAAGGCCCCATAGTAGTTCCTTTTTGGGCTTACCTTATAGGATTCGATATATGAGCCCCAAAAAGGAACTACATTGGGGCCTTAGGGTAGAGCAGCTCCAGATTAAACCTGAAAGCAAAGCAGCTTTGGCGAGACAGGACAAGTGCTGAAGAGTCGGGTTTAGGGTTTAGGCTTTAAGAGGTACAGCCACCACCATCTCAGCAAAGTCCTGACATATTTACCCCATGGCCTCTCGAGCCTAGGACGACAAGAGGCCCCAATGTCAACTCTCTGGTCTAGCAGGATCTGCTGGAAACCCTGATCCCGAACCCCATAGGCAGCCCAGGACCAGTATAGTATAGTTCACCCATAGGACCCATAGTAGTTCCTGTTGGGGATTACCTTATAAGGATTCTATATATATATATATGTATGATCTACCTCAGAAGCCTCGTCCTCCAATTTCCAAACCCGGCGGCTCGTGACTCCGCGCCACCCCCAGGCTCCGCAAGACCTCGAATCGAGCGTGCAGGGTTTTCGGCTTCCGTTCTGTTCGATATTCTTGAGGTTTTGGACCTCTGTTCAGATTGTTTACGGAACTTTGGTGACTGGGGCGGGCTTGTTCCTTAAAACACGGCTTCGGGGTGTCACGGGGTCCTTTTGAGGCTTTCTTGCGCCCTTGACCAGTATTAGGATTGCTTTGGGGTCTACCTACAGTCTCCATTGTAGTTCCTTTTTTTGGTTTACCAGTTTTACGGTTAGGATCCTATAATAGAGATTTTGGTTAGCCCAAAAAAGGAACTACAATGGAGACTATAGGTATTTCTTGGTTTGGGGTGCATGCTAGGGTTCGCACCTCTTCAGGTCGCTTCCCTCTCTCTGGGTCGTTGAAAGTTCTGAGGGTTCCGGGTGCGCTATCCAAGCTTCGGTGCTTGGGATGACCTACAAAGACTGGCAAGAATCCGACGCTTGCACAGTGCAAAGAGTAGGATGCAGGTCTGACGATTGGTCAATCGGGGCTTCGGCTTTCATGGCATCGTAAGTGCAGGCTTGTGACTGAGATAGCTCAGGGTTTGTTCTTGTCGTCATAGTCGGATGTCGAGACTGCTTGGTTCTCTGTTCGTCTCAAGGAAATCCAAGCCATCCTGGCGCGTGCCTCAAAAGCGGTTTCTTGCGGCCTTGATGAAGAGAACGCAACTAACCGTAGGCCCCAAAGTAGTTCCTTTTTGGGGTTCATATATCGAATCCTATAAGGTAATCCCGAAAAGGAACTACTTTGGGGCCTATGGGTAGTATCTCAATGTAGAACTCTCAAGCCGAAGACTAGAGAGTCGGTTGAAAACCCTGAATCCCATGGGCCAAGAATGAGCCCTGATGGATCACCAAGGTGCCCCTCGAAGAGCCAGAGCGGCCATCGCAGATGCTAGGAACAGGGACAGCACCTGGTCGCGGGGCAAGCGTGTTTAGTTTCTGTAGGGCTCGAGGATGCAAGCTGAACGGACTGTGCAGTCACTCCCCCAAACTGTTCCAGAAGACCTCGAAGCCTCCCCAAAAAACCTCAAACCCAAAGAACCCTGAACCCGTAACGGCAACTGCTGCAGCTCCGGCACCACGCCCCGTGGTGCCAGACGACGTGCCAACCAGGCTGCCAAGAAAAGCCCGGCGCCTGCGACCCATCTGCAAGGGCTAGGTTGAGAAGAGGTGTGTGTTCTGACCCACCTATACCTACCTACCGGGTGGGATATTTGCGGTCGCTTCGCTGCACACATCGGGTCTTTTTAGCTGCTCGCTGCTCGTGAATCATTGAGGACCCTGTCTTAGAAGCCCATGTTGCCCTTGCAATGGCAGTCGTCCTGATCCTGAGGAAGTCCCGCACATCAGATGAAGCTTTGAGTCAACGTGCGCGACACTAGTAGGCCGAATCCCCGAAGCCTTCGAATAACCTCAAAACCTTGAAGCCCTGAACTCTGATGCTAGCGCCTGTCAGGATCACGGAGACAACCTCCAGACCGCCAGCAGCCATCGAGGAGGAGCGGATAAGAAGGGGGACCTTGCAGGGGGTTAGGTGTTTGCGCCTGGAGATTAAATAGGGTTCCGGTGCTCACACTCGGACGGACCAGACGAGGCATGTGGTTCGAGGTTTGACTTGAGGTGAGACAATCTCGCAGCCTCTGGCAACAAACAACAATCCGACCCTTCGTTTGGGATTTAACTTAGGATTGCGTTTCCGACTTAAGGTTCAGGGTTTGTGAAACTTTTAGGTTTAGGGTTCGTTTGCTTCAGGCTCAAGATTACTTAAACTTAAACCCTAAGCCCGTACATACCTTTGAGATATTTTGGCATTGGGGACTGCGGCTGCTGAAAAGACATCATGGAGGGCCGTAACAGTTGCAACAGGGTGCTTGTCTTAAGCTGAGTGCCAGGATCCTTCAGGTAAACCCTCCCCTTGTTCCTGATATCCTGAACTCTAAACGAACTGAACCCTAAATCTTACAGAAGGCCTAAATCCTAAACCCTAAACCCGAAATCTTAAGCCTGAAAGCATCAACCCCAAAGGAAACAATATCCCCGTTCTGGTGAACAACGATCCAGTTCTCACCCAGCCTAAACGAAAGAAGGGAGCTGAGCCCGCTTCTTACAGAGTCCTAGGGACTACTATCCTCCTGAAAGTATGGAGGAGTTTAGTCATTCTGTGAGATTCCGGTGCGAAAAAACCGTGTCCCTTGAGGCACGCGGAACTCAACCCCAAACTCGCCTGAGTAGGAGGCCCTTCTCTCGGAGGCCTCAAAAGGTGGGATGAAGGTAGGTGGGATATTCCCAAATAAGAGTTCCTACATAAGGGATCCCTAATCCCACCTACCTTCATCCCACCTTGTGAGGCCTCCGATTCTCTCTCCGAGGCCCGCACTAGGGCGCCTTGAACCGACAGCAGAAGCGTTGCCACTGCCGAGCCTGCCATGGGAACTCTCTGGTGGCTTAACTTCGGGTGGAGTTTTTTTAGCATGTACTGACGTGTCTTTCGGGTGGGTTTAGGGGTTTAGGGTTTAGGATTAATAGGATTTAGGGTTTTGGGGGGTTAGGATGATTTTCATGGGCCTTTTTAAGTACGGAATTTTGGAAAGCTAACTGCAAAGGGGTGACTACAGGGTCAAGTATTTAAGGGCAGGGGTTTAGTTCGAGATTGTGGGGTCGGGGTTCCGTGTCCATGTATACTGCCATATTTACGGAATCAGCTCCTCAACAATGCCAGAATGAAAGGCTGGTACTTTACGGTGCCTTTATTCCATAATGGCAGTATGCCCGGAACGTGGCTAGGATTGCAGATCGCAGCTTTTCGGCATAACGTCCTCAAAGTGTCTACAATCAAGTGGAATGGATTTGGTTCGCAACATTGTGATGTATGCCATTGCGGAAACCATTGAATCCAGTGCACCAGGGCATCCCGATCACACCACTCAATCTGAATTGATTACTAAGGTGGGGACTGAAGCAAAGAGCATCGCAACAACTTCCTTTAATTCCCCCTGAATCCTCTGCTCAAATCCGAAACCCAACAACAAAAGCCCCCCACGGAGGCCAAGCCAAGTCTTAACTTTATGCTGTCAGGCTTGGGGCGCTCGTTCTTTGGGGCTGCACCGGACCCCAAGCAGCGCCTGCCAGCAAATGACCAGACTCCTCGCTACTCAAGTCCGCACCGGGGTCCTGCGGGCTTTCGGTTTAGGATGTTTGTCTCTCAAGCTCGCACGGTTTAGGCTTTAGGCTTGGTCTTGGCCACGATCACATTCAGAGTTTCTGTTGCAACTGCTCGCCCGTCTATGTTAGGATTTGGGACGCTCCATGATGCTCCGCATGCCCCGTGTTGGCAGCTGCAGATTCAGGGCGCTTGGTCTGGTTCCGGGAGAGGACTGTGGCGGCCGGAGCTTGGGACTTCCCGTCTTTCTTACTTCAGGTTCCTGTGTGTGCAATAGCTCTTGCCGACACCGTGCACCCCCCAAAAAAAGCGATGCCATTGCAAAGCTTAGGCTTTTGAATCAGAAAGGGAACTGTTGATCCAGCTGGAACATCAAACCCTAAACCCTCAACTATCGCTGACGAAGAAAAGAGCCCAGGCGAGCACCCAATAGGCCTAGCGCAGTTTACCCGTATCGCAGTTTTGAAGACCTTACATACCCCAGCCCTAGGCTCCAATTGCTGGAGCCTGTTTTTAAGAGGCCTAAAACTCCTGAACCTCAAATCGGCAAGCCTAACGCCTTCCGTCCACAACCCAGCTTGAGCCCTGAGCATTGAGACCCCAGTTCGCTCTGCCTACTCTTAAGCTGAACATCAGCGAAGGTATCACACTGATCGATATCTAAGTCCTGACTACCGTCTCCATCGTCATTCCTGTTTTCCTTTGCTTGTTTAGTCTACCAAGCTAGCCATGCCATTGTAGGTAGGGTCTGCCGTCAGTTTCTCTCTTCGTTCTCCTATATTGGGAACCAGGAAAGCCCTAAGGGTCCATGTACCCATGTAGCATGTACGTTGGGCCCGATGTACCTACATAGGGAGTACTTTAAGGCCAATGTATATACTATATATGAGTACATGGACCCTTAGGGAAGTACAAAAGAGCAGCCCGCTCCTCTGACTCCACCGGTCCGTGCAGCGTCTCTGCTGCACAGAGCTGCGCTGCGCAGGTCACGCCACCCTGGGGTCTGGTCGTCTGGGTGTTGCAGGTTCTTGGGTGGAGGCTTTTCGAAGGTTTTGTTGCTTTGCTGTCTGGAAACACTGAAGAACTTTTCCCATACGCTCAGCTGACAAAGTCGCACGAAGAAAATCCGTCCGAATCTTGAAGAACATGTATCAGGGTATCGGAGCGTTGGGGTTTTGGAGTCCAGAATGGGAAGGTTTCGGGTTCAGGCGTCCAGGTGATCAAGGTTTGGCGCTCTGGGGTTTGGGGGTCCGTCTCCTTGCAGGGCGCGAACCTGGACCCCTTGGTTCAGGGCAGTGGCACTGGTAGTTGTAGGTTCCAGTGTTTGGCTTTGGCGGACCACATGACAGAGGCCCTGTACTCTCAAGAGGTCCATAGCCAAAGTTTCTAAGAAGATCAGCCTCTTAGCGACGTTCATGCAATGCAAACAAATCCACAGGTTCAAAGCTTAGAGGGCTTCGCTCTTCCTCCAAGCTCTGACACCCAACCGCTCAATCAAGAATATAGACCACCCCCAAACCTGAAATTAATGGGTTATCAGCCGCTCCACAAACCAAAACTCGGAATCGCTTTCGAGCATCGTTTGGACGGCTGGGTTGGATCGAATAGGCACAACAACTGCTAAGTTACTGGATTTTGCACACTTTAGGGTATGTGTGCTGAAGGAGCAGGAAGACACTTTACAGGCAACCGGGCTTCTAAAACATGCTTCCAAGCCGTGGTGCGACAATTACCAGCAGCGCCATCAGCGAGTCCTGTGCATGGCTGGCAAGGCTCTATGCCTCAAAAACCCAAAAGAGCCCTACAGCCTACACCCTCGACCCTAAAACACTGAAGCGATCCGACCTTCCGCCCCCAAACTCAACAACACAGGATCTCAACAGAAACCTCGAAGCCTCTGTAAATGAAAAAGTCTTGCTCATAATGCAAGCCCGGCAGCAAAATCCAAGAATCCTAAAATTCTTTAAGCCGGTTGAAACTCTTTTATACACCAGCTGTGATGCGTCAACCCTCAACACAGAACCCTCTTGTGCATTAGGATACTAATCCTGCACCTTCTTGGCAACAACCCCAAACCTGCACGTGGAAAGAAATAAAACCAAAGCCCCAAGTCCACAGTGCCTCGTCCGTCCAGGACGAAAGAGGCCCGGCCAGGGACGGGCCAAGGAGGGCGCCTTGGAAAACACACGGGATAGTGATGTCGTGGGATCAGGGGCCAGGGTTATGCTGGCAGGTTTGAAGATTAGGGATGCTCTTAGCTGCTACCGCTTCTTGCACGAAGGTTTATACTGCTGATGCGAATATCAGATTGAATTGAAAATCCGGCTCCAGGATCAGTTCCGGATGCTGAACCAGAACACCCATGTGTCCACTAGCAGGTTACTGTAGACGAAGACTGTGATGTGACTACAGGCTACGAATCACACGTTACCCGGCCACGACCCATGGGACACATAGGCTGTAGGATGCTGTAGGCCTAAAAGGCAGGTCTGTGGGGGGCCGTCTACACTGTCTGAAGAGTCAATGCCAAAAGCTTCAGAGCCTGAAGCCCCTCAAATCTTGCCTGTTTAATCCTAGGGTTTTAAGACATCGTAAGTAGGTTTAAGAACTATATCTAACCACTACTCAGTCCGCCAATGCAGTTTTCAACACTAAGTTCTTAATCCTTACTCATGAGCGTCGAAGTACTGGACTGCTATGCGATGCCCTTACTACAAGTAGCGAAAGAAACCTCCCTAAAGCCGAGCAAACACGAAACGGAGCCTGAAACCCCCAGGGTTCACCAGCCCGAAACCCATAGGTTCTCCAGTACCCGCTTCACAATCAAAGATGTCTGAGCGTTTCAGCTTTCAATTGTGTGCGGAGACACAGGGAACCTAGACAACACGCAAAAAAAACAACAAAACCCTTAGGCGCCCCACGTGAACCCTACCCAGAGCTTATGGCAACAGCATAAGAACTCGCCTAGAGAAACCCTGAAATCCCTGAATACCCTATAGACGAACCATGGCGCCGAAGAAAGCCGCGCTCGCTCGCCAACCTGGACTCTGCATCCGTTTAGGGCTCAAGAGGCGGTTTTTGTTTAGGGTGTACCTTAACCCGGAAGAACATATATTTTAGCCCTAAAAAGGTAGGCTTTTCAGGGTTAAGGCAGGGCTTGGACTAGGTTCCACTGCAGGGATTCCACGCAAAGTCGAGAGCTGCAAGTTCTGTGGACCATAGTCCTCCGACGCGGCTTAGACTTTAGGGCCAGTTTAGGGTGTAAGGTCTTTAGAGAGTTTTCACCGAGTCTCCATGCGATGGGGGCTGCGGGGCCGTTGACCCCAACCTCTTCAAGAAGAATGCGCTAGATCCAAGCCAGCACCTCGAGTTTGAAGCCTTTTGGCTCAAGTCCAACGTTTGGAGGATCGGCCGGATTTTTCAAAACAAGCCTTCCCTCCCTGACTTGAAGGCTGAAACTCCAAGCCCTGACTCCCCCGAAAAAGTCCCACAAAACCCTGCGGCCCACGGCAACGAGCACCTGCCCAACAAGGCCCGGCAAGCAGCAGGGAGTGAAGGATTGGCACCTGAAGGATCCCCGAAGCCAAGGTATATATGGGTGTATATGATTTAGGGTTGAATGTCTATAGGGTTTAGGGTATAATATATATATATATATATATACACATACATATAGCGGTTTGGTGTCTAGGGTTCATGGTTTGGGGGCTTAGTTTAGTTAGGGCCCCGGGATTTTCAAGATCGCCTCCTTTAGCTGTGTCAGAAAGAATTCAGAGCGTGAAGGGAATATCACCCTTTGTTCAAGGTATGTATGGATTTAGGACTCTTACATGCTCGTCCATGCCAACCCAAGTCCAGCTGTTGCGGGTTGGGCGCTTTAGGGTTTGGATTTGGGGCTTACAGGGTTTATACGGGCTTAGGATCGTTTGCGGTTTCGGCCGCTTTTCAGGAGCTATGGCACCCGTGCAAACCCTAAACCCCTAAACCCCAACCCTCAACTAACCTGCAGGCGATCTCGGGTGCCTTCACGAGGGCACTTGCAACGGCTCCGACATGATAGCAAATGCCCACCTGAACAAAAGAAAAGGCGAGAGTTTAGGGTCAATATCTGGTCCTGAATGGTTTTTCCTGGGGATTCGGGGGCTGTTGTGGCCAGTTTGTGTAGTTTTCGTACTCTAGTTACTTGAGGAGCTGCCTTAACGTCTATGGTCGACATCTGAGGCCACTTCTTCTCGAAACCCTGGGCTTCGAGGTGTAAAAGCGATCGAGAAGTTAAGTCTTGCGTGCCTGAGGACTCCATCTAGTGTGCCCGCCTTCAATTTCCCATGCGTGCATCCCCTCTATCTCCACCATTACCTCTAACGGACTCTAACGCGGCACACACGCTAGCCGATTGATGTTGACAGAAGCCTTTGCTTGCCGACTGCAACATTGACTTCCGAGATGTAAGCTGCCTTGGCGACTAGACAAAATCACCTAGCCATAGGTCCCAAAGTAGTTCCTCTTTGGGGTTCATATCTAGAATCCTATAAGGTAATCCCAAAAAGGAACTACTTTGGGGCCTATGGGTAGCCTTCAGCTCTGAGTAGGAGATGTGCCGGCATCGAAACCTGCAGTCCCTGGAAACTGTATGTCACACGAAAGCTTGATAACCAAACAATCCACGAGTTCATAGCCCGGCCCTCCAAGTCCAAAGTCTCAACCAACCTCCCCATCAAAGCCCAAGTGAATGAAGTAGGCAACTTGCATGTAGGCCTAGACGGCCTAGGGTTTAGGGATTAAGGGCTTTGGGCATATGGGAGTTTCCGAAAATAGGGGACCGTAATATAGTACCCTAAATAGTAGGATCCTTACATACGGACCCCCCAAATAAGGTACCACTCATTTTCGGAAACTCCCATATGCCATATGGCTCTACGATTCTACCATCAACCGAGGCTCCCATAATCCTGGCTCCGTTTTGAAAGCGACAGCTGCCTCAGCACTGCTGCTCGAAACCCCTTACCCTAAGGCCCCATAGTAGATCCTTTTGGGGATTACCTTATAGGATTCTATGAACCCCCAAAAGAAACCACTTTGGGGCCTTAGGGTAATTCTCATATTCACAGAAATTCGCAGAAAGAGCCGGAATGCACACGTGCAAGATTTGTGGGTTTATGTCTGGAGGGCTTGTAGGTCGGGAATAATTGAATATAGGGTAGAAGCTCTTCACATGGATGACAACTGTTCTGCTTGTTGATGTCCACTTTGCAAACAAGAAAGCCTGCAGTGCAAAGCACCTATACGCTCAAGCTCCTCAATCCATGCAACCCTCATCCCCACCACATTTGCGAAATCCGAGACCCGCAGCCCTGAACCCCGAATCCGGGACCCTTCTCACTCTAGTCTATCCTGTTTTATTCAACCCGATCTCATCTCCAAGCGCTTGCGAAAACCTTCAACACTTCGAGCCTCCCGAACGCAGCCCGACGCACCCGAAAAGAACCTTTTAAGCTCACTCTATGCGCTGCATACCAGGCCTGAAACCCTAAATCCTAAACTCCATTAGGGTAGCATCCTAAACTCCATTAGGGTAGTATCCTAAACTCCATTAGGATAGTTCTCTAATTGAGGTGGGTCCCTTCCCGGGTCCTTATATTACAAGGGTGCCGTAGCATGTTGGGGACCCAGAAGGTCCCAATTTCAGACAACAACCCAAACAGGCAAACACCACAACTCGGGCAGCCCAGCTACCCATGGCAAAGACAGCATCCTGGCAGCAGGGATCTTCAGCTAAAACCCTAGACCCTAAACCCTAAACCCTAAACGACCTTTAATTTGAACCTCCGGCTCTAAGTCCCTTTTTTTGCACCTCGGAACTTCGACCTCAAGAACCAGCCCTGAGTAGAGCAACGGAAGATGTGAGATGTCCCTTGTTTGGGACTGGGGCCTCTGGCCCCTTATATAAGGAAACCATTAAAGGGAACCCCAAAATGGTAGGTTCTTCAAGGTTAAGGTAACCCGAAACCCATTTTGATTGCACCATCAACCCCCAAATCCCAACCCGTCGAAGCCAACAAGGTGTCTGTCTCCTTGGATCAACTTCGGCTCGCACTGTTCTATTAGGGTTTAGGGCAGGCTCAATCGAGAGGCCCCTCGGGGACAACAAAATTCAGGTATGTTGACTTGTCGGGCTTGGTCTCTTAAGGCTTCAAGCGGCTGGCAGGTTGATACGGGGGTCTTAAGAAGTACACGAGAATCTTCTATGTAGGCGAGGGACCGAAGGAGCAATGTTGGTAACTGTTCACGCAGGTCAGGGCGCACCAACTACGTGTTGTTACTTTCGAATCAAAACATGTGCCATTCGCAAGCTCATATATTGCGCTTCGACGGAGGCATGGTTTGCTCACAGGATCTACAGGGGCCAGTGCGGCGGCGACTGAGTCAGTCACTACACCTCAGACCTCTGAAGTCTAAAGCGGAACTGAGCGCAGCCACTCCCGAACCCCTAAACATGCCTAATTAAACACAACCGTTTAAACCCCAACCCTAAGCCCTATGAAAGAAACCCTGACGCCTGATAAAACATGAATCCCTCCCAAAAGCTTCGCCAGGGGCACGCGAGACCGGCCGCGCTCAGCCGCGTCGCGGCGGCAGCGCTTCGGGTACGGAGAATGGGGAACCTGGGATAGAGGAGCCCTGCAGCTTTATGGTACACCGTATCCTTGACACTTCAATCCCTTGTAAAGCCCTTATCGAACACTTTTGGGCTTCCAGTAATTTCCAGTAAACACCAACACCAACCCATCATGAAGGGATCAGGTTGGTTTGCCGTTGCTAACTGAAAAATCAGGTGACGCGAGCGGGCTGCAGTAGACCTAAATTCTATAAACCCGATACTATAACTCCTAATCGTCCTAATCAAGGTCTCAACCTCCGTGCTTTGGTGCTGTATTGCCCTGAACATCTCAGGATCACTCCGTGTGCATATGTGCATCCATGTACTTGCCACTTCGTATTGAGTACATGGGTGTTCCATTTGGCCATGATTCGGGAAAGCTTTGAACCCGTCACAGTGTCAAAGCCACGCTGCAGTGCTGCCGTGGTCGCGAAACCTAGCACAGGTCGCGCGAAGAAGAACATCACCTGGGGCAGCTTCGTGTTTCAGGTCTTCAAGCAGCTGGGGCTTGAGGATTCGGGATGCAGGGTGCGGCTCAAAGGTGAGGCTGGGGTTTTGGGCTTCTGGGATTGAAGACGTCGCGGTTCTAAGCCCTACAAAACTCGTGTATTGGTGGTGGAGCCGGCATGCCCGATGGGAGCAAAGACTTCAGGGTCTTGGGGTGCTTTGCCATATGTTGGCATAGGACTGTAAGATTACTAATTGCAAGTCTTCCGACCGCTATATACGGGTTTTAGTTTCAAGGGGGGATCAAAGGTTCACAACACGAAGACAAACTTGATGTATCTTACAGCATACCTGCACAAAGCCAATGCCGGAAGACATGAAAGAACGCTTAGGCATGCTTAGACAGACTGGCCACGGAGTACTCACCCTCGGCAGCGTGGGCTAAGATGGGCAGCGTGATGACCTGTGGGCACTGCGGGGACATTAAGGGTCCACGGGTAAATGCTATAGTTGTATATGGGGTCTGTATGAAAGCATTACGAATATTTGTAGGATTCCGCAAGGGTCGTTTGCCGTTAAGGGTCCATGTACCCAGGTAGTGCATATGTTGACCCTACGTAGTACCTGAGACAGGAATACCTGAAAGGCATGTGTACAAGTTAGACCTATACATCGCTTCTAAGACCCTGGGCAAACTGTGCTGTTCGTTCGATTGGCACGATGCCACGGTTGCGTTCGAGCCGGCGCCTCGACGAAGCTGTCCACGGCAATGGCCGCCACGGCGCTGATCCTTAGAAAGCAGGCCATCTCACAATGAAAGCCTAGCTTCGACTGAATCGAAACAGTCCTCGTGATACAACGTTACTTATTTACAATGGATCCCACTATGCTAACTTAAAATAAGTTCCTTAACACCGGCCCAGGAAAGGAGGCATCGTTCGCAGTGCCTACTCCCTGAACGCCCTCACGACTTCCTACATTACGTTGGCTGTGTAGCATCGCTCGCAGCATCTCTCGTTCTTTTCGCCCAGGCTCTCAAGGTCGTTCGAGCATAACGGTGGCGGAAACTTACAATATACCCTCCAACCCTAAGAGACATGAACTTGATAAGGTTTTGTTTCCGGCAGTTTTACATGTCTCACTACGGTACAGACATGTTCGACCCACAAACGAAGGTCCTACTGCCAGCAAACCGAAGAGCTTCAAACAAATGCGGGACCATAAGAGTTCCGCCAGTGAAGAGTACTACAGGCTCCCAAAATCCATGATCCGGACTCTGGAAACTTTAGGATTCTGGAGTTTGGGTTGGGTGTTTTAGGGGTTTGGTTCATTCAGGCTGCACATCTGGGGGTGCCTGAGGTGGTGCAGTTCGTGAAGTTTTAAGTATTCAAGATGAGCTTGCCACTGGATGATGGAAGGATCGTCAGTCGCGGGCTGTTTTCGATCCTTCTGAGAGAAAATGGAATACTTGTACAACAGCTTGAGGCAAACCTGGCCCAGCAGCAAAAATTGAAGCCGCTCTAGTCCGAAATAACTCCAAGCCCAAACTGCAAACAACTGCTTTAAGACAACGCTGTGAAGCCTAAACTTACCCTAGGCACTTTGATGTCGCGCGTTCCATAAGCCTGGTCGGATTGCACCCATTAAAACCCCATATCATACATCGATCACAGCGTCGTGAACAGAAGACGAGTCGACTTTCCCGAGGAGGCAGTTGGTGCCTTCGTCTAAGGTCCATGTAGCATAAGGGTTCCGTCAAGGAGTTTCTCTCGTGTTGAAGGGCTCGATGAGCTCGATGCATCCACGAATATATCTATATATGTATATAATATGTGTGCAAAACAATAACACATGTTCTTGTGTGTCCTGCAAGGCTACAGCTTTAGCTTAGTGTTCCAGGCACCAGGTGGTTGACAGGCCCTAAACTATGGACTGTGTGCATGCTTTTTTCGATACGCTTCCGTGAAGTTTAGATCCTCGGCCGCCTGGGGGCAGAGTTGAAGATGTTGGATATGGGAGTTTCCAAAAATGAGGGACCCGAACATAATACCCTTTCTGCTGCAGGCTTGCTTGCAAGGACGCCTGGTAGTTTGCCGCTCTTCCGCCAGTTAGGACTGTAAAACGTAGGATCCTTATTATAAGGATCTCAGAATAAGGTATCACCAATTTTCATAAACTCCCATATTGGGTTTCGGTTCAACTACGAGGCACCACGGCCATGTTCCAAGCATGGGTAAGTAAAGCACAACTGCGAAATACATCGGAAACCATTTCAAAGACTCAAAGCGAAGCCGCATAACACGGTTCCTGTCTTGATCCACATACAATCCGAAACGCAATCTCATGAAGGCAAGCAACTAGACAATGCCTGTAGCTCCCTCTACTACAATAGTGGTTCCGTAAACATAGCACATATTCGATACACCCGTAGAATCCTATGAAACCCTCTCTCTCTATGTGTACATATATAAAGAGATAGCTAGATAAAACCCTACAACGTCCTAGACCGTAAGCCATTAGTAAGCCTAGTGATCCCAAATCCCACACCCCGGCCTCATCGCCGACCGCTCCGGCATTTCGATGGAGCGCAAGCTTCATCTTAGCCGTCGCAAAGGGCATGGGGTGTTAGGGCTCAGGGTTATTGTGGATGACAGGCTCCACGGTCTGGGGTTCTTTGGCTTCTAGGCTTCGGGGTGGCTGGCAAAGTGCTCTTAAGATAGTCGGGGCCTATGATATGGCAACCCCCACTCCCTATCGAAAACCTACCTGCTGAAACCGCCTTTGACCTTCCATGAAAAGGGCCCGGGTGGAGGGCAGATGCTCTATAGAGCCAGCTACAGAAGGCTGCACATCAAAATGGCTTCAGGTGTTTTGGGTTGTCAACTGAAGGTGCTAGAAAGGCTTGTCTCACCGCTATTGACATCATTCTCGGATGCTTATCCCCATACTTAACCGCAGCGGCCAGTCATGCTCATCAACTTCAACAGCAGCCACTTCCCCAAGCCATCATTACTAACCCCATGGACATCGGCGGAGACAACGTCAAATGCGAAGTTGGGGCATGAGCGTCGGGGCTTTCTTTGCGGAGCCCAGCTGCCTTCGCAACCATACATTCTAGGAGCTGACCTTCTCAGCGACTAAGTTGCTCCAAGTCCTTCAACCACTAGGTTTCGAACTCCGAAGCAGAGATTCAGTGCCATAGAACATACCTGTTCGCACCCATGTCAAAAGCATCGACGGTGCACAAGAAGGAGACCCGTACAAAACCCCAAACTTCATCTGGTTGAAGCTATACAATACCACCCACAGGACCAAACTTGATCAAATCGAAACCTTAGCACCACTTCCAGCCGCCTACAACTTTCATTCAATTGTATTTCGCTCTGCCAGCCAGACCTCCAACTCCCCCCGGTCCCTCCAACCACCCAACCGAGCAGCAGCCGCGCCGGCGGCAGCGGCACAAATCGCCAGCCTCGCCATCCAAGAGTAGCTCCAACATAATGCTACTGTCAAGAATGGCAACTCCTCAGGGTTTTTGGGGATGCCCATACGGGTGGAGGTTTAGTTAGGAATACACACATATTCAGAGTAGTACGAGTAGAAATAGTATTCCTCGGGGTTCCTTCACGAACATATGGCAACCCGATCCCCATTGAAGCCAAGGGCATGGATTGACAGAGAGCATGGGTTCGAAGCCCCAAACTTTAGGGTCGAGGGGTTCAGGGGCGCCGGGACGTAGGGATTTCTGGTAGTCTGTCTCCTAAACCCGCTTATCGACGTTCTTTTGGTGCCCATCAATCCGAAGCTGAGCCGCAGAGCGCCGGAGACGAAGATGGTGGAGGCCGCAATCGGGCCTCTTCGTTCAGAGGTAGGTTCTTGTTTGCTGCAATTGGTTGATGTCTGCCGCTGGGGCAGGGGGCATTTCCGAGCACTGCCTTAACCGAAATCAAGCTCCAAGGCAAATGGTCAAACAAACGAAACTCTTCGTGGCTCCGAGTTGCGCTTCCAGAGATTCCAGGGGGCTTTACTCCCACCGTAGGTAATTATTCTTCCCGCACTCAGACAGTCTCACATCACATCCCACAATCAGCGAACGCGGCTTTACATCAGTTTGTAGGGGTTTACCGGAAGTCCTTGAATCAAGGGCTCACCTCGAGACGCCTGTCCCGGAAACGTGTGCGCGGTTGAGGGTTGGTAAAAAATGAGTAGAAGAATAATCAAAGGCTGAGCTCTTTGATGCTCTTTGGAACCTACCCTAAAACTCTTTGATGCTCCCTGGGCACCTACCCTAAAATCTTAACATCCCTAAGCCCTCGAGGACTTTAGCAGCTTCGCCTGCCATGGTTGCGGAGGGTCCGATGGGTTTCGCCCTTCCGCCATGGAACGTGAAAAGAGCCAGAGCGGCTGCGATGCTCGGGCTTCTCTGGTGGAGGTTTTTTCATTCGGGGTTGTGAGTTGTGGGCGCTTAGAGCTCACAGCGGCTGAGACTCAACATGTCCCCAAGCCCGCACATTACATGATCTTTGGCCACAGGCGCGTTCAATCTAAGGTCCTTACAGAGCTTTCGCAAAAGGTTATGCAAACGCTTGGGACCGTGGACTGTATAGCGGCGTTTAGAAACCAGTGATATAAAGGCTCTCTTTCCGAACCCTCCCAGTTAGACTCTCTCGCTCCCTATAATAAGGCCCTGAGCAAGACGTAGTAATAGTATTCCATCGGATTTCCCAAAATACTCATTAGTACCGATCCCCCGCCCCCCTTTCCAGACAACACGCTCAGGTTCAGGTTTTAAGAGGTTTGGCCCTGTGCCGAAAGCTGGGTTTAAGACTTCCGGTACGACGCGACAGGGTTGGAGATGCTGGCTAAGGTGTACATGTAGCAGCCCCAATGCCTATCTTATCTAAGACTGCTTGATAAGATGCTCTTAGATACTCCCCTACCAACGGGGCTCTCGAGGGTTCATTGTCCACGGCGGCAGGCAGGCCGGATGCTGCGTCTAATCATCGTGATTTTTGTGTTTACGTAATAGTGTAAGGTTCAAGGTGAACAATCGGGCCTGCTGCTAGTCCTTGTGACATGCATAGGACTGCCGAGGCCCTGGCCCTGACTCTATCTTCTAGAATAAACGATCAGAGCAAGCAGAGAAGCCTAGGGTGGGCTGTGCAACCGGAAACCTCTGACAGGATTTCGGGGCAGTCGCGAATCTGCACCGGTAGGAAGAACTGGAGACCATACCGACTCAAACTTGAAACACCCAAACCCGGAAACCACAAGCATCGACAGTCAGTATACGCTGAAGGAAAGCTGGCCAGCAGGACCTGAGCCAAGCCCAGACCCGGACGCCTGAAGCACGACGAAAAGCAATTGCAATCATGACTAGCGCAGGCAGTTACAACGACCAGCTGTTTATCATGATTATTGCTATCTCTCTCTCTCTCTCTCTCTCTCTCTCTCTGCCGTGCCATCATGCTATACTCGAACAATGCTCATTACTGCCGGAATAAGCAAAGTCCGAGTGTGTTTGACCCAAGGGCTGTGATGACTTGCCAGCAACTTACAATCTCATGTGCTGGCCAGAACACCTTGGCACAAGCAAAGCGATGCTCCAGGCATATGGGGTCTGAAGTTCCGCAGAGCGTCCAAAACCCCTCAATTCACCGAAGGAGTCTGCTAAGTTCTCCTTACTATGACTTAGGGATGCTTACGGTATGTTCAATCTCTGGGTCCTGCATCCATGGGATATCTTTGTCCGTTTTAGTTCCTGCGCCGTGGGGCCCTCATCGAGCATACCACAGTCTACCCATAGGCCCCAAAGTAATTCTTTGCTGGGATTACCTTATAGGATTCTATATATGAACCCCCAAAAGGAACTACTTTGGGGCCTATGGGTACAGTGTTCAAGCCTCTCCGTGTGGCGAGTCTTGCTGGACTTGAGCCGCGCATAGCAGTGTATGAGGACTTACTACCGGAGATGTTCTGAAAGGAATCTATGGAAAGGGTCAGGCCGGACGGGTGAATACTATGAATACACAAACAAATTCTCGGGCAGCAGTGCTACTGCAACCAGTTATTCAGGCCAGCATCCTGGGTGAAGCTTAAGAGGCTACGCCGCTACGCAGTGGGGACGCCCACTATGTTAAAAAGCCTTGCGCTTCGAGTTGTATCAGAATTCCGGTCTGTGCTGATCCCCTGGACCGGAAAACTTAAACCCATAAACGATTCTGAGCCGAGACCAGCTCCCCACCTACATGAGTAACCAAATCCGCTACTCAACTGCATGAGTGTCGCACTCTAAAGCCGGATCCAGGGCTTTCGGTTTAGCGCTTAAGGGCTTGCGGCTGATACAGGGTTCATATACAGGGATGTCGTCTAACCAGAGTTTTTAAAATCCGCACACCCCTTGCAAAGGGGAGCCGCCTGCAGCTGACTTTGCGCCGGCCTCGGCTCACATTCATGGCGGAAACTCCAACAACAAAGCCCGCGAGCCCTGAAGCCCCGAATCTTCTGATGCAACTTTGAGGTTTTGGGGATTTTGGGGGTTGAAGGATGCCCTCTAGCCATGGCCATTTTTCGCAGCAAGGACTCCGGAAGCAGCAGGGGCGAAGAAACACACCGAAAGCGCTTGGGTTCTGGAGGCCGGGGCTCTCCGGTGGAGTGTGGCCGCAGGGATTCTTGGGAGGTCTGGTGCTTTCGGGATCTGATGAATGTGCTTGCCTTCGGTTTCGGGTTTAGGGTTTTGGGCTGATTGAGCCTGCCTTCATACTGACCATCACCGCAACAGCAGCCAAAGAGGACCGAACCCTTGTTCAACTCTGTAGAAGGCTAGAGCTAAGCCCAAAACTATACTGAGGCCCAAAGCAGCCCTACTTGTACAAATCCGGTTGCAGAACCTTCGAAGCTCCCCTACAGTAGTATAACTCTACTATGGAAACCTCGAAGGAGGGACTCCGATGTATAGAACTCTAGAAACTACTGGGAGAATCCTGGTCTGGGAATCGAAGTCGTCGAAGCCTCAAGCCAGCTCTTTATGTTCAGATGCTGATTTCTGGGCCCTGACAAATCATCCCTTCTTCCCAAAACTTACCTTTGGTTAGTAGGGGGTGGAAGGATGGTAGTAATAGCAGTTATACTTGTACCCCATTCCTCCATTCTCTACAAACCAAAGGCAGGACAAGCCCCCTTTTTCAGCCCTTGGCTTGGCTTGTGTGCCAGCGAACCCTCCTCAACAGCAGGGAAGTCTCGCAACCCCAATTCCCAAACCCCTTTAAACCCTTAACCCTACCCATAGGCCCCCATCGTATTTCTTTTTAGGTATTACCTTTATAGGATTAACCCCCAACAAGGAACTACTTTGGGGCCTATGGGTAAACCCCTGCCCTCCTTGGGTTTCCGGGCGTCCCCAAGGGAGACGGATCGCCGAAGGATCGCAGCGAGGACGCCCCGAAAGACTCGGCGTCGGAGCCCTGACGTGTAGGTTTACTTGGGGTCTGCAGATCTGGGGCTTTAGGATGTTTTAGGGGTTTGGGGTTTAGGATTGCTTCGTATGTTTTAAGTGCTTCTCTCTCATGATCTGAATCTGATATGGATTGTAAGGGTCAAGGGTTTTCTTTAGGGCTCCAGTTTCGATCTTGAAATGATGCCTCGGGGTTGAAGGGGTTTTGGAGTAGGGTGCTCAAGGCTTGAGGCGTTTAGTTTGCCCGTTGATGACTTTGCCATGGAAGCGATGCGGCTTGGGCTGTCAGGGCCCATATGGGTGTGGGTGGTATACGGTATCAGCACTCATTCTGCATCCTGCGTCTGTGAAAGGGATGTAGCATGCCAAGGAGCAGAGAGAGAGAGAGAGAGAGAGAGAGAGAGAGAGAGAGAGAGAGAGAGAGAGAGAGAGGAGAGAGAGAGAGAGGGAGAGAAATAAGAGAGAGAAAGAAGAGAGAGAAAGAAGAAAGAGAGAGAAAGACCGCGAGAACAAAAACAAACAAACACCCGAAACTCGTAAACCCCTAAAGGCTTAACATCCCAAAGCAAGCCCATAGCCTAAACTGCAAAACTCGTATATGATTGCTAGACTTGCAGTTCACGGCACAGATGGGTTGGGGCCTCTAGCCCAAATCCCAGCACAGCGACAAACCTTTCACACTAAACCCTAAGCCCAAACTCCCAAAACGGCAAAACCCTTCACCCCGAGGCACTTGAGCGGGACCCTTCCCCACATACAGGCCTCCGACAAAGACTCCTCTGTGTCACAGTGAACCGAAGGTGCCGATGGCGTCCTCTGCGCGTCACCGCTTGGACTGAATAGTTCTCGGTGCTACTGCAAGTGCACCTACTACCCTCTTCTTGAGTGATTGAGAGATTCAAGGCTGGGACACACATCCGTACCCAATGATATAGAGAGAAGCACGAGGGAATCCCCTTTGACTACGGGGTGCTTTCTTGCCAGAATGTATCGCGAGGATACCACATAGTTGCAAGGTGCTGACTCGACTGAGCCGGGAGCCCTGTGTCCTGAAATATTGGCAAGATTAGGCCAGGACCGAAACCCACGACAGGCCGCTGTGTCCCACACGCCAATCCAAGGGGCCGGTGCCACAAAGTGGCATGAGGTTTCAGGGGTGGTATGTTATCCCCACACTACAGGGCAAATAACATGCCCTGTAGCTTATCAAGTGCTAGCCTGGCACCCGACTTTTCACACCGGAGACGTGCGGGGACGAAACCTCGGTTTAGGGCCGAGGGGTGAGGGTGTAAATGGTAAAGGCTGGTAGGCGAAAGCAAGTGCCTGTATTCTTGCTGCTCATTACCTGCTTTGGAATTCGGATAAACAAAGACCTACATACAGCCTATGCAAAAATGCCTTTAAACAAGGATCGAGGTTTCAGAAACCAGCGAAGCAACGGAGTGACAGCAAGCTTTAGCCTTGCGGTACTCAGCACCCTGAGCGAGCCCCTTCCGTGGCCTACAGCCATCCTCGGGGTCTTCCGGACTGCCTCAGCAACGGCTTCAATTCAGGGTTTAGGGTTTTTGAGGCTTAGTTTAGACTCGGGGTGTTTGGAGTTTTGGACTCCTCGAAACGGCTCTTAGGGTGCTTGAATTTCCAGCTTGTGCATTATATATATATATATATATATTTATACATATACATATATATATATATATACATATATATATATAGTTTTGCACAAAGCCCCTAAGCCCCAATCTAAACCCAAAGCTGTTCGAAGTCAACCTCGTCTTCGACTTTGGACCCTAAACGTACTGCCAAACCCAGACAAAGCAGGACGGACCCTAAAACCCAAACCCAACAACAACCCTAACTCCTATAAGCCTATAAGTCCCGCTGAGCCC